TAGAAGCTTCAGTCCTAAGGAAGGTTCAGCTCTGCTTTTAGATTAGCTAGAAAGCAAGAAATCCAATGATTTTCTGCTTTCTAGCTAATATAAATCTCCTGGCACAGCAGAACAGCTGATGATCAGGGGAAAAAAATAAGGAAAAATAGCAATTTAGCAGGCAAGTTTGATGGCGTGCATGCCAGGTAAGGAGTGAGTGGGTAGGGTGGGGTGGGGCCAGCCAGTGGTGTGCCAGTTCTCCAAACTGGGCAGAATCATAACAACTGGTTCTATAGAACCAGTCTGACTAGGTACAATCCCACCCCTGCATATAACCTTATGTTGCCTCCTGAAACACTCAAGTGTGCATTATGTAGCAGTGGGGAAAAGGTGGCATTGTTGTTTAAGTGTTGCTTAGTATTCTATTACAATATTTAAAAAATGCTTTGAATCATTAAAGTTACATTGCTGATTCCTCCCCTTTTATTGTTACAAAATAGAGTTGGAAAAGTAATTATCATAAAACACTGAGAAGAAATGATTGGCAAGGAATGGAAAGGAAAAGAAGAAAGGATGAATAATAAGATTAGCAATATAATAAGCTATTTAAATTGGAGAAAACAAACAGAATGCACAAGCTAGCAGAACTAAGCCACACAGTAGTAAAGAATTCAAAATGCTACTATTGCCGGACCAGCTAGCCAGAGGCACTTATTTTTCTTCACACAAATTCTTCTGAGAAGATAAAGATAAAACCCCTTCGAGCTGAGTTCGGCCTCTGGACACTACTATGCAGCTATCTTGAGAACATGATAGAACCCACGCCACCCACTCTAGTGGCCCCTTATCCACATAATAATGAGATCGATCTAACAAGTTAAGCTTTTCAAGATCAGCCAAGCTGATCAGTTGTTTGAGGACAAAATCTATGCAGCTGTTTTTGTGTTCTCGTTTGCAGGACTCTAAGGAGTCAAATTGTGTTTGAAGCTTTCTGAAGATTCTGATTCTGGCTAGGACCACTTCACATTGATCCTGCTTTACTTTGAAACAGTGAATACCATCCAAGTTTAGTACATACTCCTGTTATTTAGAGGTAGCATTGCATCATTTCCTAGGGCTTTCCACATTTTCTCAGAGCCCCTTTGTTTCCATCACTCATTTTGATTTAAGGCTCTGATTCTCAGCCACAGTATTTAAATTCTGCCTCCTCCCTTTTAAATTCCTTGGATTAATCAAAACAACACATAATATATTACTCTCACCATCTTACATTGATTCTGATCTTTAAATCCAACACTATAATTTGTGAAGAAACAAAAAAGAAAAAGAAAAGAAAAAAATAAGATTTGATGGACATGCTGTGAGAATTCCTGGATTTTAGGAGACCTTCTCAGCAATTTTTCCAGATTGTGGCAAAAAAGAACATGTCACAATGTGCCATACACCAATATGACAAATACAGATCTGATAAATTGTTTGTATGCTTTCCGGAACTCCGGATCACTCAAGCAAAAAAACAAACTTCTAGTAATAAGTGCATCTTTTATATACAGTAAATCCAAAAACAATAAAATATTAAACCTTTACAAACAAATTGGCTTTAAATTACATTAAGGAGAAAAATGTCTCTGTCAAATATGCAATCATACAGGTAGTCCTCAACTTTGCAATAGTTCATTTAAATGACCATACAAAGTTACAACAGCACTGAAACAAGTAACTTCTGGCTGTTTTTCACACTTATGACCATTGCAGCATCCCCATGGTTGTGTGATCAAAATTCAGACACTTGGCAACTGAGTCATCATTATGATTGTTGCAGCGTTCCAGGGTCATATTTTCACCTTTAATGACCTTCTGACAAGTAAAGTCAATGGATTTGCCAGATTCACTTAAAAACTAGGTTACTAATTTAACAACTGCAGCGATTCACTTAACAACTGTGGAAAGAAACACTTAAAATGGGGCAAAATTCATTTAACAAATGATTTAGCAACATAAATTGTGCACTCAATTGTGGTCATAATTTGAAAACTTCCAGTACTTAATAATCTTCAGTTTCATGATATGTAGGTAGTATTCCATAGTCACCGAACACAACTGTCACATTTCATTTGTGTTGGGTAGAACTGTCTGGTTCTTTAAATGCATTTTTTTTTCAAAGCTATTTGAGTGAGTATATCAAGAGAGGCTAACAGCTTTCATAATATGAGTACTGAAAGTGGCAGAGATAAATAACATGTTACTCTAGTAGATAATGGCCCAAATAATGCTGAAGCACACCAGAAATGGCCAATTATCTTTTGTCTAAATGTCTCATTTTGTTACCTATTTACATTGTTTGGAGAGGATATCAGAGCATATGGTGATAATGTGTAGTATAGTGAGAGGGGTTGAGGCTGTTTTTTTCCCCTGCTTTAAGGGATGTTTGCAAATTTGAAAGGTTTATTTTCACTGATCATAAATGTGACAAATAGGTGTACCAAGCCTTATTTTGGACAAATATTCTCAATCAACCCATCAAAGGAAAAAAACCTCCATAACCTACCAATTTTTATGACACATCTTGGAGAGTTCTGAAGTTGCAAAATGGTTCCTTATGGAATCAAGTATTGAATAAAGTCCAGTTTTTCAATAAATTATGTTTGCCACCTAAACCAAACTGAAGGAGACTATCTGGTTACTGGCACTCCTTGTGCAAAACAATCCTAGGACTTGAATCTCACTTGAATCTCAAAAGCACTGTCTTTTATCCCTGAAGTTTACTGTCGTTGTTAACTGTAAAGTCGTGTCTGACCCATCGTGACCTCATGGACAATGTTCCTCCAGGCCTTTCTGTGCTCTACCATCCCCCAGAGTCCATCTAAGTTCACACCTACTGCTTCAGTGACTCCATCCAGCCACCTCATTCTCCTTCTTTTGGCCTCAATTGTTCCCAGCATTAGGTTCTTCTCCAGTGAGTCCTTCCTTCTCATTAGGTAGCCAAACTCTAATCCTGAAGTTTATTTCCTGCAATTCATACTGTTGTCTAAAATCGAACTCTGCTTTTGGGAGGTGGACTGTGGTTGTACCAAGTATATTTGTAGGCAGCATTTATTTTTCCACATGATTTGGAAAATAATTCTTCCTAATTAGAATGTAATTGTAGATTAGGACAGACAAATTATGCTTAAAATTTGCTGCAGCTCTGCAAGATTATGGGTAAATTCATCATTTCACCTTCTCTCAGCACGCATGAAGCATTTTAAATATTTATAACACATGTAAATGCCACTACTCACAAGTTAATAAGCCCACAGGACTGGGAATTGAACATTTAATACTGCAATAAAATAGCATCTTCCACAGCTCACAAGGAGAGGCAGGTGGTTTTGTTGCACTCACAAACTTATCCATATCTAAATATCACCCCACCGTAATGTGTGACTTCAATCCTCTTGTGGTTTGAAAGGATGCAAAGAGTTGAAACAAGGATTGGATGGGGTGGTGGTGATGAGGTAATTCTAAATTTCTTGAACTGCTGGAACACACTGGAATCAGTGCTATCAAATTTAAAATACAGAGAAGAGAACTTTTGCTTAGGACTTCTAGCAGCTATATTTGACGTGAAGACAACACCGCTCAGATATGAAAACTGATGGAAAGATGGAAGAAAATGTTAAGAAGGTCTATTATAAAAAATCTTCAGCTGTTATTTCCAAACTTCAGTACAGAAGCAGCAATGTTGCTGGAAGATATTTTGCTGATAATTAAAAGACACCATCACTCCAAGAGGATTCCACATAAACATTTGCAGAAGGGAGCTGACATGTTTGCAGATGATGAAACATGCGTTGAAATCCAAATCATATGAATAACATGCTTGCATACTACTACAAGATGCAAATAGGAAAGCCTGGGAGTTACATTGTGACTTTGGAATGTATGTTTTGTCATTTCCATGACATAGCAATTTGTATTGGATACCTATGGAAATCAGTGTGATTTGCAGAATTAAGAAAGCTATCACACAAGCTAACCTGAAACTGTAGTGTGATACAGTGAAAAGCACTTGTTGATTTTTTTTCTATTTGAAAGCAGTCCAGACATTTGTATGTCTATGAAAGTAGCAAATGGGAAGACCTGCTTCATTCTGGTCCATTTTGTGACTATGTTATGTACAGCTGTGCCGTTGATGGGGCAGGAAATCAGATGCAGAACAGATTAAAGAATGGTAACAGTTGCCGTGTCTCATGCTTAATTAATAGTCTTGATGTGTTGCAGTGAATTTCAGAGTTGTTAACTTGAAGTTTGGAGCCCTTGTACTCAAAGTTGTCTCCTTCTCACTTAAGACCGCAAACAGTGGAGCTGTTAAGCAATCTCAGGTTTTCATAAGGACAGTAGCAACTTATTTACCTCAACGTTAAAATCATGTTATCCTCCTAGAACACTTACATGATACGAGTCAGTAATGTTGAGTTGTAAGCCACCCCAGAGTCATTTGCTGAGGTGGGAAGTTAAATAAATAAATAAATAAATAAACAAACAAACAAACAAATAAATAAATAAATCAGTTTTATCTTAACTCCAAAGAACAGGTCCACCCCATATAATGTTGTTTCCTAAGGTGTGGATTTAGAGCAATCATTTAAGTAACATTGAAAACATGACACATTTTTTTTCTGCTCATTTCAGTGGGATATAAATTGTTCTTAATTGCACCTGTTTTACATAATTTACATGGATGTTCCAGTTTATCTCATGACACTAAGTCACAATGTTAATGTAAACAAGACTCTGTTTTTGCCTTTTCCAACACACACACACACACACACACACACACACACACAAACAGGTTGGATCAAAGAAGGTTGATGATAATAGGCAAGGTATATACAGGCAACGTGTATACACATGCATTCAGTGGTCCATATTTAAAGCATGGTTGCTTTCCAGATGTTTGATCCTAAGGCAGAATAGCATTGTCTTATTTCTTAGCTATGTGACTTTGCCTCACACCTATTATAAATTCATGAAAGGCTTTAGGAGTATTCGTCCGCTGATGTATATGGAGAATTGATGTAACTTGACACTGCTGAACTAGCTTTGGAACTCCTGCATGAACACCCATTTGCGTTGGCTTCTTGTGCTCCTTTCTTGCGCATAGACTTGCTGTTTTCACCATCACCGGATTCAAACACTACTGACATGCTGGATTCCATTCTGGTAACTGTGTATAGGCTGCTTTGCCTGGTAGGATGGAATCTAGTTGTCTTAAGCTCCAGTTCATCGTAACTAGATACTTCAATGAAAGGACACCATTGAAAAGCTCTCTTGAAACCAGCTCGGAACCTGAAAAACACATGCATGTACCATAGCGTATGTACTTGATATTTGACACATCTCATAGAAAACATTTTTTAAAGAAAAGAGTTAATCAAATATACATTTCTAGATATCTGAGTTTAGTTCTGGGCTTCACATTTTCAGAACTGTATACATACTGAAGTATGTCCAGAATAAGAAATAAATATTATAGAGATTGTCAATTCCAGTTCTACTAGGAATGGTTTAGAGATATTAAGCCTAGAGAAGAAAAAATAAATAAAAGAGGAACATGTTAGCGACCTTTAAACATCAGAAGTCCTACAGGAGATGGAAGCAACTCGCTCTTGATTACTCCAGAGGGTAGAATTAGAGCTAATGGATAAAAATTGTAATGAATTTGGCTCAACGATAGAAGATACTTTCTAATTGTAACAGATGCGTAGAGACTTCTTAATAGCAGGGTTGGAAAAAGGACTGGATTTCCATCTGTTGAGACTAGAAAAACCTAATAAAACAGAATGCAAATTCAGCTGCATCTCTGCATCTAATTTCAAAGAGAGTGTCAGACTGTGCTGCCCAGCTATCAGGGACCGATTCACAATTTCTTTAATGCACAATGCACGTCATCAGAAGAGTGGAATTAATCGTCTGAAAAGTTATGGATTAAATGTTTTAGCAGCCCCCTCCTCCCTTTCAGCTGGTTAATTTAGAGCTGGTTTACATACACAGTATATTAGATGTGATCTAAGAATAATATTGTTCTTAGATGATGCTTCGCAGGTGGTCCTAATGATTACATTTGTAAGAGGCAACCTGGTTGTGAGTGACAGGGTCACTAAATGAAACCACAACTGTGCTTACGATCTTCAGTTTTTCCTTGCTTTACATACCTGTCAAGTTTGTAAATATAAGGACTGATTGAAACATTTTTAAAATCATCATTGTCACTGTAAACAGTTGCTAAACGTGGCAGTCTCTAAACAAGGACCACCTGTATTTTCTGTGGGTTAGGATTAAACTCCTTTCATATAGAAAAAATGGGTCAAGACTACTTGGAATTGTACAGACATGTACTTTCTTATACTTTTGTATGTGTGCAGAATTCCAAAAGGCCATTGCTCCATCCAAAAAAAGCAGTACAGTTGAAGAAAACATGTTTATAACTTGTAGCATTGCCATCATTATAAAAAAAACTACCACTTATTTAAAATATGATAAAGCATCCCTGATAAACTGGATCCCTCCTGTCCTTTCTTTTAGCAGGGCTAATTTGTGCCCTAAATATCTACCTTGAAATACCAAGTGAGAGACTGCATAATTCTGACTACAATTTGTTTTTAAAAAAACATAATTTGCAGTTCCCGACTAATATGTGGATCAGGTGGGTGTTATATAAGATTAATAAATAAATAAAAAGTGTGGATGAGAAGGCATTTCAAACTGAATGCTTTGTCGAATTTTGCTGTGGTAATTATAAAAGTGCCTATCTTGAAGAGGAATATGTAGAACATGTAATGTTTTAGCAGTAATTGTAAAAAAAAAAGATACTTATATAAGGAAGTATTTAAAATACATGCAGACCTACAGTAGATGACAATATAGCAAGTTGAGTAAATCAAAATAAAACTTCATGCATATAGTTTGAAAGCAAATATTGAGTGGTTGAAGTTTGTTAAATGAAAATTATGAGAATGTTTATGGAATGAACTTAGACTTGAACACAACAAACATTGACTCATCCATTTCAATTACCGCTGAGCTACAGCTCAGTTGATTCAACTCATGCCTAATTATAGCTTGAATGTGCAAAGCAATATTACAAATAACACTGCGGAACACAAAAACGCAAGGAAATGAAGCTCTCTTGAGATAAATTACTTGTAATATAAATTCATTTTGAACTTTGGGGATAAATAATAAATATTTCATACATTTTCAATTTGGATCAGAAGACAAAAAGAACAACACAGCAGCATTTCTGTGCCCGATACAAATCCTGATGGGATTATGTGGGTGTTAAATAAGATTGCAACAGGCAGGTGTTTGAGCAAGATGCTGAAAGGTTGTGCTTGTTGTGTTTCTCCTATCATCTGAAAATGTTTGTATATATATATATATATATATATATGGCAGGAATTAATGTCCCCTTTGAAATGCTTATCAAAATGGAATTTGGTTCTGATTTTTGTTTGTGTATATTGCACAGACAAGTAGCCTATTCCCATCTGTATTTCTGAATTTTGCTGGCTCTCGGATAAGGTATCATGTAATATTAGACAGATTCTCTCAGCATCTTCTGCTTAAACGTCTGACCAAAAGAATCACAAGATTGATGAGAGGTCGTATATCTCTTAAATATGTGAATTATTTTTCATTTATATTTTATTTATATCACATATAAATTTAATGCAATTGTTTTGTACTTTCTTAGTTATAAGAGTTTACAGAAAAGTAAAACCAGCCTTTCCAACTTCACGAGATCTTACTTTTTTCTTGTGAGAAATTTGAAGGTCTGATTTTACTCTTTTTTTTTAGCTCCATGAACTTTTTGGGTTTCCCTACATGCTTCTTTCATTTGCAACCCAGCTTTCCCATTTCCCCAGTGAAATAAGACTTATATACCACTTCACAGTGCTTTACACCCCTCTCTAAGTGGTTTACAGAGCCAGTATATTGCCCCAACCATCTGGGTCCTCATTTTATCCACCTTGGAAGGATGGCTGAGTCAACCTTGAGCCTGGTGGGATTTGAACTGCCAAATTGCTGGCAGCAGATAGTCAGCAGAAGTGGCCTGCAGTACAGCACTCTAACCACTGCAGCATCAAAGTTCCTTTACTGCATGGGCAGTGCAGGGCTGTCAGGCATGGCACCAAAGGAATATGTTGCAGCATCTCTGCCATCATTCATAAGTGCGAACAACTGCTATGATGCTGCAAAATATGTAACTTCGGGACCTGGTCATAAGTACTTTTGGCAGGGATTTGTAACTTTGAATGATTACTAAGTGAACTGTTGTAACCTGAGGATTACCTGTAAATGGTGACAAAAAGGATAGGGGAGGAAATGAATACAGATTGGAGAATGTCAACAGAAATATATATTTCTAAACAACTGTACTGAGCGTTTGAATAAATAAACTTTTTTACAATGCAGAAGGAGATCTATGGTACCCCCTTTTCTTCTCTCTTAATTTCCCGGATGAACAATGAATAAATGAAATTCATTTAATACAGAAGAATGAAAAAAGAAATGTTCAGGCTCCCAACGGTAGATAGATTATTCTTAAATTAAAACCTTACCTTTTATTGAGACAGCAGTAGATAATGGGATTATACATAGTAGAACTCATAGCGAGCCAAAACGTTGCTAGATAGATCTGCTGAATGTATTTCCATCGATTCCAATTTTCATAGATTCCAGTAAGAATGAAATAAATGTGATATGGCAACCAGCAGATGGCAAATGTCAATACAACCACAATCATCATTTTTACAACCTGGAAGCAAACAGATGGGGGCGGGGGGAGAGGAGGTTTTTTTTTACAACTTTGTAGCCTGTAGCCTATTTTTTACAACTTTGTAGCCTGTAAGTGCCTTTTAATATTATCAACACTAGATATTAGGCTGCTATGGCTGGAGTGTTAAATTTATATAGATATTTAATAATTTGGAAAAAAAAACAGAATGCTATAAAAGGAATTTATCTATTTTGACATTTTCCCCTTTCCTTTGCTCAGATAACAGAGAGTGTTTTGATATGGATTTGAGCCTCCTGCACTTTACTTATGGCCCGAATGATTAAGTCTGACATATGGGTAGATAGCTGTTGTGCTTTACAGGATAGCTGAATCAAATAACCATTGGTATACAGTGAATAAATAAAATAGCAGCTTAACATGTGGCACCACAGATGACATCTCTTGGGAATATTCAGATAGATGGGGAATTCCAACAAAGGAAATAATGTTGCTTAGAGTTGAACTATGGAATTATTCGTGTTATCTGAGCTTGGTTGTTTGCAGACATTTCATTATCCAACTAGGTAATATCATAAGGGGCTTGCTCCATTTATACGCAGTAGCTTGCCCTACCAGTTTGGGTAGGGGTGTGGTTTTCTTCTTGGTAGTTCCTTGATTAGAATATTGTTTTCTGCTTGATTGTTTGTCTGGTGCTAATCTTTGCTTATCTGAATGTTGGCTGCTGAAAAGGATGAATTCTGGTCTTTTTGTTTCTTAGCTTTTTATTGTTTCTTTTGAATGGTATATAAATATGCTTTATCTCCATGTGTCTATTGACATCTGATTTGTCAGAAAGCCAAATTTCCAAAAATTCCCTGCTGTTTTTGGATTTAGCTTTGTCTAGAATCAGTCTCCAAAAATTGAACCCAACTGAAAAGAAGGAGGAGGAGGAGGAGAAGGAGGAGGAGGAGGAGCATAAGCAGAAGAAGCAGAAGCAGAAGAAGAAGAAGAAGCAGCTAATCATTTTCCAGCTGAAATTGTGGCTGCTCATATGTTGTTATTGTGTTTTAGGACTGCTAGTTGATGTTCAGGGATATGTTCATGGATGTACTAGTTGGTGTTCAGGGATGTTTTCTGCCGATATAGTGGTTGTTATGGTCTTTCCACTGTATATTGTAGATTACTCCTTTTTTTAAAAGAAAAATTGGACTACTAGTTTTTTCATTTGCTTAGGATGGTTTGGAAGATGTTACTGTGTGTGTTACAGTGACTTGTGGTTATAATTATTGAATGTTTCTTAAATGTTTTTGATGTATGTGAGTGTTATGATTCTCATAGTATGTGTTGCTTGTGCCATAAAAAAATAATCCCTAAAATAATTTTTTCATAATTGAAAAACAAAGACAATGTCTCCAGTCCCAGATCCACCCATTCGGCTATCGAAATAGCAAACATTTAGTAATCAGTGTGTAAACTTTGAAAGAAGGCCTTTTCTATCCCTGGCATGTTTCTTTGGTTGATACCTGATGGACTTGTGGCTTCTTTGCTATACTGCACAATATTGAAGTTGATTTTTGCTGCCATATAGTTTCTCCATTTGCGTTGCCTATCAGTTCCATATAGAACTGTAGAATGCAAGGTTTCCATAGCTCTAGTTTTGTATCTGTTTTTTTCTCTGACAGATATCCAGACTGCTTTGCACTACTACAGAATCAGCCATTTGCTCCTGTCACACTGGTTCTGTGCATTCACTACAATCATTTTTAAGGTGTAGGAGTTGGAGCCCAACAAACCTGAAGACCCCTGAGTTGGGAGGGACAGGTTACATTATATGTGTGTTTTGCATCCTGTTGCACTTCATTGGCTAAACCAGTACTTATTTATTTAGTATAAATATTTATTTATTCATTTACATTTAGAGACCATTCAATTACAACCACCACAAGGCAGCTTACATTATAAAATTAAATAAAAAATGGATAAAAATCATAAATATTTGAAATGTTTCCCAAAATGCCTCGAAGAAAAATAGACGGGATACCCTATTTCCAGAACTGGGAGCTAGACCAAGTTTTCTGTGATTTTCAGGATATCATCAAAATGGAAATTGTTCAGATTTTTTGGTGTGTGTGTGTGTTGTATTCCAGAAGGCAGGAACCTCAACAAAGAAGACATACTTTCTACATCCTAACTGTACACCTACTGAAGGGGCTTGGAGATAATTAAAGAGACTTGGAGGTATCCATTCTTCTAGCTCTTACTGGGTGAAAATATACAATTGAAAAGAGATGGCTCCCAGATACCCAGAGCTAATTTTATAAAGGGCTTCATAAGTCATGACCAGCATCTTTAATAGTACCCAGAAGCCAACAAGCATAATTTGTAAACAAGTGTAGATTGCAAGGCATGGATAACAAATGGGCATAATGTGATCCACTCGTTATTTCCTAATCTGCTGTATTTTGGATCACCTATAACTCTGAGAGGTCTTCAATGGCAGCCTTTATGGATGTCTTGTAGTAGCCCAGTTCTGAGATGAGTAGCTTAAGTGACAGAAGGATTATGTTCTAGGAATGGGTGTAAGATGGATCTTGTAAAGGCCTTCCTGGCCACAGCTGCTGACTACTTTGAGCTGATAATTCACGATGACACTTTAATTGCATATCAATTTCAAATTGGGGTGTACAATCCCATCCAAGACCAAAGATTAAAAATTCCCAGATCTGGGAGGCCGAAATACCTACAGCTACTTGATCTTGGCACAATTGACCCTGAGCTTGTTCCTCCCATCCAAATCCAAGTAGCCTTCAAACACTGGTTCATGAATTGAAAGCATCACTTGAACAGCTTGGGATCAAGAAGTATTGTGGTATCATGGTGTACTCTGTTAGACTCTAAACCAATGGATGACTTACTCATTGTTTTTATCTAAATGTTAAATGTGTGAGTAGAGACCATTGAGCTCCAAGGCAGCCCACTAGTGCAACCTCTATCCCCATCAATGTTTACTGCAACTGGCTCCAGAAGAAAAGTGGAAAACCACTGTAAGAAGTGTCTCCAACCCTGCAAATTGTGGTCAGTGGTATTGAAAGCCATTGAGAGATCAAGGAGCACGAGGATAGATGCACCATTCCCATCCATATTCCAAAATGATAATCAAAGCAGGATCAATGCCATTTTGACACTACATTCTGGCCTAAAACCCAACTGAAGTGTGTCCAAATCATAATATATAAGTAATACGTAAAAGTAACATGTCATCTATTTTTAAAAGAAGCCTTTAAACCTCTATGTTGATTACTATTGTTTAAAATATTCAGAAGTAGAGAAATAATATCGATATATATAATTTACCAAATGCCAAATTTATGCAAAGGTGAATCCTCTGTGGTCCTCTTTATGGTGAAATAGAAATATTAATCTTAGAATCAACTTTTTTTTGTTAGTGTTCCACTTCAAAGCACTAGTTCATTCATCTTTAAACTTCATGGCATTCCAGGTCCATGCCTAGATGGCCCTTAGAGTAACGTTTTCTTATAAAGACCTACTGGGCAATCATTTAAATATGAGCCAGCAGTGTATTGCATCTGCCAAAAAAGCCAACATGGTTGTAGGCTGCATAAACAGAGGGATAGAATCAAGATAGAATCTAGATCATGTGAAGTGTTAATACCACTTGATAATGCTTTGGTAAGGCCACACTTGGAATACTGCATCCAGTTTTGGTCACCACAATGTAAAAAAGATGTTGAGACTCTAGAGTGCAGAGAAGAGCAACAAAGATGATTAGGGGGTTGGAGGCTAAAACATATGAAGAACGGTTGCTGGAACTGAGTATATCTAGTCTGATGAAAAGTAGGACTAGGGGTGACATGATAGCAGTATTCTAATATCTCAAGAGAAACTCAACTTATTCTCCAAAGCACCTGAAGGCAGGACAAGAAGTAATGGTCGGAAACTAATCAAGGAGAGAAGCAACCTAGAACTAAGAAAAAATTTCCTGACAGAACAATTAATCAGTGGAACAACTTGCCTCCAGAAGTTGTAAATGCTCCAACATTGGAAGTTTTAAAGAAGAGTTTGGATAAGCATTTGTCTGAAGTGGTGTAGGGTTTGCTGCCTAAGCAAGGAGTTGGACTAGAAGACCTCCAAGGGTCTTCAATGAGCATTTATTCTATTCTATAAAATTTTCATCTTTCTTAATTTTCAGAAGTGTTTATTTTTCTGACTATCTTTATTGAGCAGAATAGTGCTGAAAATGATTTTTGAGCATAAATTATAGCAAAATTTCCAAGGTAAATTACATCTCTACACTCCATTACTCCTTGTCCCAAGAGGAAACATCATTCTGTGCATATAACTGGAAGAATTACAGCTTCATTCATCAAAATGAGAAAGCCTTTGGTGATCAGTCAAATTGATTCAATGGCTCTCCAAAATACTTCTTCAGCTTTATTTTGTAAAAAAGCAGGCATTAACTGAACATTCAGATATTTCAATTTAAAGCACAAAGTATGTAAATATATATTTCTCTAAGCATACATTTGTTTTTTGGACAAGATTGTTCAAATCACCACTCAGTCTTCAAGGTCACAGAGCAACAGTGTTGGGCCAATCACTATGTCATTCCCTAATCTTTTTGTGAAGCTGTGGTTATGACAGTTATTGCAAGATTAAATTGATGAGAACACAGAAAGTGAAGTAGGAATGAAAGCTGTTCCAAAGATAACATTTCCCCTATGGTGGCATTCTGTACACCGCATTAAAAATATGCTTTATTCTTTTTCTAAAGAATAAGCAAAGAATGTTAGGGGACTCACGATTTGCCCCACATAAACTTGATGAGAATGATTACCGCAAAGAATAAAATCTGAAGCAAACTTGAATAATAGTCCTCATTGCAAGCACATGCAAGCGAATGGATTTGGCACAGCAGGCTCTGGCTCAAAGCCAGCTAGGGCTATAGAGAACTGTGAACAGCAGCCCTTACATGAAAAGAGTTTGCATGGAATCCCACTTAACTCAGTATCTCTGCTCAT